ACATCTTTCAAACATTTTTGTAAGCAACACTCTTTATCCTACGTTTTGACCACATATGCAGTTTGATGATCATATAGTTCGGGGCTAACACAAGAAATTATAAGCTTTCAGAAACAAGGTGCTAGGATAGTACATGCCTAGCATTTGCATGCCGCAACGCATTTTTGCATCTTGTATTTCTTACCAATCACGCACTCATCTTTTTTTCTATTTTTTTTTTCATTTGACATACCTTTTTTCTTTTATGTCAGTTGTACATACATGGTCGTGTAAGTAATACAAACCGACCTTAACTATATATAGAAACTTAACTATATATAGAAATCTAGAGAAGAAGAGCTTCTTGATCTAAAGATTTGAACAAGACTGATGATTTCCTTTTCCTGATCATGAACAATTAGTGTTTCCTAAGGGTCTTACTTCTGCTCCAAGGGGGTCAAGAGTACCTCATAGCCAACATTTGAAGTCAACTTACTGTACATACCAAGTCAGGCAGGATTAGTTGGAGGCACACCTCATCTTTTCAGCAATAGGTTGTGTCGGCTTGATATGAATTCAGATTGCAGACTGCTCAGGAGAGGCAAAATCTACATGTTGTCCATCAAAAAACTCCTCTCTAAAATTCATAGGTTTTTCTCTGCTTATAGCTTTCCATTTTGTGGCTCTATGTTTCATTCTCTTAATTACTTTAGTAGAATGGAATTCACTAATTGAAAGCTCGCTTATGGTGACGATGATCTGAGGCTGTCCTCTCTGGCGGCCACTAAGAGGATTTTCTATGTTGGACGAAGACATTTTCGGGTTTCTTTGATGTTCCATTCGCAGTTAATTTTTTTGGCCACCCACATGCATGCTGGTGTTGAGTTCTTGTTCTTCCCTAGTCTTGCTGCCATTATTTTTTTGTTAACTAATTTTTTTATTTACTTTTTCCCACGTTCTTCATCCTTTTTACTAATCTTTATTTGTTTATACATTTCTGAATGATTAAGTAAGTACATCATTATTTTTTCATTTATTTCACCAATTATATATTTTTTATAACTACTATTCATTCAACACTTTTTATTCTGCCCATTTCTTGATTTATTTCCTATAAATCTTCCACATGCCTTTCTAAGTACATAATTTTGTTTTGCTGCAAGTTAAGCAACACTTTTTACCATAATTTTGTTTATTTATTTTATTTTCTTAAGTAATTATGCAAATACATCTTTCAAACGTTTTTCTAAGCAACACTCTTTATCCTACTTTTTTTTTATTTGTGTGCTAATTGATTTACCACTGCAGCTTTCACATAACAGTGAATTTAAGTAGCAGTGGTTAAGTTCTTACTTTCACTCCTAAGAAGTGTACCTGTTCATAAATACCAGAAGAATCAACAAGTCTATAAATTTAATGAAATTGAGGCTTCATTGCCCTGGAGTAGTTTAATCTTCAAAAAGGGATAACCAGATGCTTGACTCCCATTTGCAAAATTCTCTAATCTGGGCATGGAAGAAATCATTTAATATAAGTATCTCGAGGACAACTTCAACAGAATAGTATAAACTTGGATATCAACCTTTTCTACTCATCTCTTTTGTTCATGGCATCTTGCAGAACTTTTGGAAACATGTCAACGTTAGCGGATATCTGTAACATAGATTGAAGTTTCGAGTCCAGGAATCTTCTCTTTGCTGTATAAAAATGTCAAATGTGAATGGCATATACATGTTGGTCAATGGAATAGCACAGTAACTAAGTAACAGACAAATAAACCAACATGCAGTTTTAAACTGCATTTTATATTTATACCTAGGAACTGTTACATAACTGTTATACAAAATATGCTGCCACTTTTTTTGACAAAAAATCTACTGTATCAAATGAAGCGATTGAAGCGATGTGCATTGAACAGAAAATTCTCACTAAAGCTATGCTTTTAAGATATTCCCTCCGTTAAAAAAATACTTGACGTTGATTTTCACAGCATTCAAGGTGCAACATTAACCATGATCTTTTATTACAAAATCAAAATAGTTATAATATCTAATAAATGTATGAGATTGAAAGTACTTTTTCAAGACAAATATATACATATATGATTTTTATGCTTACAAAACAAAATTGACAAATATTGAGAGTAATTTTTCAAATTTTGCCCACACCAAACACACATCACTACAGCAAGCCCAGAAGGCGGCGAATGTAAGTCTTGCTCCCCCAACAGACATTTCAGAAACATAAAGAACAATTGGCCTCTGCCAGCCCTTGCTTGTAGTTGTAGTCGTAAGATGGTTTTGGGCCACCTAACTGTTTCAAATTAGTTTTCTTCTCCAGGGAAAAGCTCCAGGCAAGCCCAACCGAATAATCCCCCCACAGGCCCCACTCCTCTAATAAATTTCGAAAATTCAAAACATGGTGAACCTTTTTAAATTTGCGAACTTGGTATTAAACAATATGTCCACTTGTCCAGTGATAAGATCTTACCATCCATATCTCTTCGAAGTTTGTAGCTACAAGAGAGATAAATATCATCCAGAATAAATTTGTAAAGCCAAATTTCATATCAGGAAGCGTGCAAACTTTAAACCTCATCCAGACAAAATATAAATGGAGGGCGAAACATTATTAGTTATTACCTTGTGCCAAAGAACACTCTTTAAATGACTTCACTTGAACAGAAGGTGCACGCTCAGAGTTCTGCAGCCACTTGATCATTTTCAACTTCAGGCCAGGGGAGTAAGCAGTTGTCTCATCAGGCTCATAACAGTAATTTTAAGTAGTGGTAAAAATATAATAATGAAAAGGACTGCCACTATCTCGATGGTACATCTACGATCATTGAGTAGTTTGACGCCTTAATATTCTAGACTTATCTTACAAACATTACCTTGTCACAAAACACAATAGGAAGGAACAAAAATAATCTCGGCAAATCAATAGTATATCCATGCCAATTTGTGATAAAACCACTATATGTATTGGCAACAGTTACTGTGTTCATCACACCAAATTCCCAGCGAGAGCACCAAAATTCATCAGTTCCTAGATTCAACTAATACAATCACTAAGCCACATGTGCAGCTAATAACATGAGTCAGCAGCTACATGTTCTTTGACTCAAGTTCAAAAGTACTAGAAATGCATCAGTTCCTAGATTCAACTAATACAATCACTAAGCCTCATGTGCAGCTAATAACATGAGTCAACAACTACATGTTCAAAAGTACTAGGGCATATAAGCAGCCAACAACTAAATGGTTCTTGACTCAATAATTTCAATAAGGATTAAAATTCTGGAATCTCAGTGTTCAGATCAACATGCTTCTTCCTGCAGTTTGTTGCATTGTGCCCAAGAATTTGGCACTCACTACAACGAATCTTCTTCTTCTGATTTGGTTCTTCATTATTGATGATAGGAGCTCCAGTGCCAATACCAAAATCATTGTCTGATTTCCTCTTACGCTTCTTCCCATAGATTTCTAGGAAACCTTTTTTATGAATTTGTATTGGCCTTCCTGCGGGCCTTTTGAACGCAGGAGCCCTAAGCTTCAGCAACTCTGAATCACTCATCATAGAGCTTGAACCTGCAGCGCCATAACTATTGCCAAGTCCTGCCTCTTTCTCTGATCCACTGTCAACACCAGTATCGCTATCAGTTGTATAGTAATTGCTTTGCATGACAACTCTATTTGTAGCTGGTGTACACTTGTCATTTTCTTTAGCCTTGTAATATTCTCTAAGCTTTTTCTGAGCCTTCTTAAGATACTTTGCTGCTGTGTCAAATGCACCCAAATCTTTGTTACCATCTTGCACTACTTCAATTGCATTGACATAGAGATAAGTGTGGCGGTATGTCATCGATTCCATACACAGCGTGTCCTGCTGGTAGCACCTCAATTCTCCTGGTAGAAGGTCTCTAGCTTTACGAGTCCACCGTTTAAGGATGTGTGCTTTTGGAACTTTAGAAACACCCAATTGCACCATGACCTGAAAAATACCCAACAAAGTTTGAGATTCATTTTGCTATCAAAGTGGTCTTTTCATTTTTACCTCATCTGATAGCAACCAGTAACAAAGTATTGCATAAAAAAACAAAATTCAGTTCAGAACTTACTCTCAGCACATGACTGCATAACACACCAAAATTAGGGCGGCGGCATAGAGTAGAGGAGAGAGATAGAACGGAGAAGATAGAGATTGGGGAACAGAGATGTCGTGGGAGAGGGAGTGTTCGATGGGAAAATTTGCGGCAGGTTGGGTTCACGATTTGGAAAAATTGTGCGGGAGCTGGTCGGGAGAGAACGGGGAAAGAAAAAGCAGAGGGGAAGACATAGAAGGGGAGACCACTTTATATATGGTATAGAAGTAGTATATAGCTGATGTGTATGTACGTAAATACCATGTACAGGAGGAGGAAGAAGGAATTATAGGAAAGAAACTGTCACTGTCAGTTGCACATCTCGAGTCTGAGTTGGATGGCTAGGATAGTGCCTGCTGAGCGGGTAGGCAAAAAAAAAACTGCTTTCCTGCACAGGCTGCACTGACAGGATGCATGGAGAACACATCGTATCCATCCATTCATCCATCCGTGGCTGGTAGCCGTAGCCGTAGCCGTAGCTGCCGATGGATAGATAGATGGAGGATGGGAGACGACACACGACGACGACGACAGGAGGTGAGGAGGTTCATGCATGCACCAGACCAAAAGGCGGTGGCAGCAGACCATGGGCATTGGGACGGCAAAACCGGGGGCCGAGCCAGCTGCTGGTTTTGGTTTTGGTTTTGCCTCGACAGGGCCTATAAAAATGTCCCCGAAAGCTCGCAAACCCCGGCCAGCCACCGTCCCCTCCAGCAAATCCACACAGTCCCGCTCCCGCCGCCGGCGAATCCAAGCACCACCACTCCACCACCAGCAGGGATCGCGCCGTCGCGCCTCCGACCCATTGATTCCCCCGGGCGCCGCGCCTTAGATGCACCTGCTCCACCACCACCGCCGCCGCGAAGACCACGGCAGCATGGCGGCCCACACCGGCCGCGCCGGAGGCCGCAAGCCGCCGCGGCGGGTCCCGGCGGCGAGGCCCGGCTCGGGCGGCCCGGGCGCCGGCGGGACCACGACCACGTACCTGGGCGCGGAGACGACGGCGCTGCTGGCGTGCGTGACGGCGACGCTGCTGGTGCTGCCGCTGCTGCTGCCGCCCCTGCCCCCGCCGCCGCCGTTCGTCCTCCTCGTGCCCGTCGCCATCTTCGCCGTCCTGCTGCTCCTCGTCCTCGTCCCCTCCGACGCACGCGCCGCCGTCACCGTCGCCGCGCCCGCCACCTCCCCTGGCTCCTCCTCATACTTGTAGTTGTAGTAGCTAGTACTAGCTGATTAGAGTGAGTGGTAGTAGATTTTGGCGTGGAAATGTAAATAAAATCCAACTAGTACATACATGGACACGATTTTGCTTCGCTTCCTTCCATTCTTCTTCTTGTTTTTTTTTCCAATTTCGTTCTCCTCGCAGCAATCTCACTCGTAGTTGCAAAATTGGTTGCAATTCTGCATCCAGCAAATTGAACTCGGACATATATATATACATAGTACACGCATCGATTCCGACTTGGATTGGATCAGGAACTTCACTTGGTGCTGCAGATCTTGATGTCTCCTCATCCTTCACAACTCTGCGTACCATCTGAGGCTGCAACTGGAATTATTGCAGGGACTCAGGCTGTGTTTAAGTCCGTGAAATGAAAACTTTTGGTTCTCACGTCGGATGTTACTAATAAAAAAAAACTAATTACATAGCTCGTCTATAAACTACGTGACAAATTTATTAAGCCTAATTAATTCATTAGTAGCGTATGTTAGTTACTGTAGCATTTATGGCTAATCATGGACTAATTAGTCTTAAAACATTCTTCTCGTGATTTTCAACCAAACTGTATAATTAGTTTTTTTTCGTCTATATTTAATACTCTATACATGTGCCCGTAAGATTCGATGTGATAGCTTGGGTGAAGCAACCGAACGAGCCCTGAATTTTTTTAAACAAAAACGAGCCCTGAATCGGATGCACTGCTCACCGACGATAGCCAATTGGACGGACCGGACCTGACCTGACCTGATGGGATATGCAATTCTGCAGTTCCAACCATCGAGGATGTCTCGGTACTCGGCCCGTGTTTAGTTGGCGAACGAAATTAGGGAATAGGTCAGATTTCGGATTTTGGAACTAAACTGGGTTGAAAAGCAGCCCGTGTACATTTTTCAGCATGAGGCCCAACAGCAGCCGCAAAACCGCGTCCCACACTACGTCGGCAGCCAGCACCCCTCCATTCCTCAACCCTAGCCCCGCTCTCCCCCGCATGCCTCTCCCCTCGGCGGCCCCGCCGCTCGCTGTCTCAACTAGCGCACGCGCCCGCCTAGATCCAGCAGCCCGGCCGGTAGATCAACGCGTTGCGTGCCCGGATCTAGTCGCTGCACGGCCGCGTCTTCATAGATGGACGGCTACGATGATGACGGCTTCAACGGCGGTGGCAACGCGAACTTCGACGGCGGCTCCGGCAGCAACGATGGTACGCGGGACTTCTTGGCGGGGGCGAACCCGCTTTTCGGGTCGTTGTTGTACGAGGGCTTCATCGACCCGCCGCCACCGTACACGGGGTCTAGCGGCGTGAACCCTCCCCGCTAGGGGCTGGACTCCCTGGACCTCAACGACGGCGCGGGATGGGATGGCATGGACGGCTACGACGCCGACCTTCGGTCCGACCCTGGTGGTAGCCAGATGGGTCCGCCTCCCGTCCGTGTTCCTCGGCGGCGGAACCTCAACTTCCAGCAGCCTCGCAGCACCGGCTTTGGAGAAGGAGGTGACGGCACGGGAGGGCGCGCCACATCAGAAGCTGTAGGAGGCGACCGCGTGCCGCGCGTCCATCATGGCCGCGCCTCTGCATCAGCCGCCTCTGCCGGAGGAAGGCGACGCCGTCGCTGGCGTCGCGGGGCTATCCCAGACGTGGACGACGACATCGTGCACCCGATTCATGGTACCCCCGTGGGTCACATCCCGGTAGTTGTCATCACTCATCTTCTATCTTGCATTGCTCATGTATACTGTTGTGTTCCAATCATTTTCTTTTTGCCCCATCATTGATTGTTTGTATGCATGCATGTCCCAGTTATGCTCACAGCCACATGTGCAATCTTTCCCTTTGCATCTATTTGTGCAGCCTAATGTCAGAAAGTTTCTGTGTCTTTAATTGCAATGATAAGACTGTTAATTGAAACTTAGCTCGAACTTGAAGGTCTGCTGCCCATATTTGGGTATGTGGTATCGTTGAATCAAAGATTCTTTTACTATTAGTGTGAACTTGACCCTGTATGGAGCTTTCAGTCATTGGTATTCTATATTGTCGTGATATCATTGTCGTTTCCCCTTCTGTGTGCATGCTGCTACCATGAGCTGTCTCTTCAGTTGAATATTTATTAGTATTTGCTTGTTTATGGTTGTGAAATCATGTTTTATCAAATCGTTTAGGCTAGGATCGACAGGGGAAACTAGTCTGAGCCCAATATAAGCAACCTTTGCCAAATCTGGTGCCACCAAATTGACAGTGGCAACTGTGTCCGTGGCTCGATGAACAAGTCGGGGTGGAGAGATATGATTGCAAGGTATTATGCAGCAACAACCTTGGTACATAACAAGGACCAGTTCAAAAGTAAGTTACGGCAGCTCAAGCATTTATGGCATTTTATAAACGACCTCCGGAAAGCCTCTGGCTTAGGCAGGAGAGAGGATGGCTCCATCCTTGCTACTGATGGTTGGTGGGAATCTCGTACGGTGGTATGTAACCAAACTTATGTTCAATCATTTAAAGTTAAAATGTTCATATTCCATGAATGACCTGTACCGGTTTTTCAGGGACACCCTGAGTGGAAGAAGCTCAAGGACGGTTGGCCTCCGTACTTGGACGATTTGGACCGGATGTTCGCTAGCACCGCTGTTGATGGTTCAACTTCGTTCTGTCCTGCACAAAGCAACACCGTTGACGTGGACAGTTCAGATGACGACTCCAATGATGAGCACGACGACCAACTGACGCCACTTAGTGTCGGCTGTAACAGAACCGACCAAATCATAAGAACGTAAGTACAAAAACAATCACCGAAGCGATCAAAATCCTGTACTTAAGCTCCCATAATCCCAGTAGTCCAGAAATCACGAAGGATTTCAACCAACTCTCGACATACAAACCAAGATCGTAGTGATTCAACACAACACATCATCTGTTACAACATTTCATAAGTAGCATTCGGATTACATCCATCAGAGTTCAAATAAAATATTACAAACCAAGTTCAAATGCGCGAAAGCAACATAGTTTAGTACATAACTTCATAGTTTCAAATACATTGCCAGCTCTGGGTCATGTCCCACAAAAGCATTATCAGGTACGAGAACTAGTAGAGACCGCGCCTAACGGCCTAGTCTTCATCCCCGGTGGGAGAAAGCAAGATTTGCAAAGAACAACCAAAGAAGGCGGTCATACGCAGCGGTGGGGAGATAAACCACGAGTACGAGAAGGTACTCAACTAGACTTACCCGTCAAAAAACCGAAATAAAAGACACCAAGGATCATGCAAGGCTTTTCGGTGGGCTAGTGGACACGCTTGCATAAAAGAGCTTATGATTATAGTAACCAATTTAAATTTAGCATCAAGCTTATCATCATTTACGTCCACTAGATTAGTACTGTACTAGAGCACTCACTTATTAGGAGCAAACAATATTAATCATAGCAGTATAATAATAATTTGTCATCATCATATCATCATTTTACGAACCATTATGTTATTTAGTGCATCTACATTGGAGATAAGCCCGTCAAGTTCTCACTAACCGGAGAGGCGGCGATTGAATCGAATTACAACTCAGTGAGGGGGTATTTCTAACTCTCACCCCAGCATACTTTGCAAAAGGGTAGTGTGGGTCACCTTTGGAACAACTCAGAACCAAATTCAGTGGGTTCGATCGGCCTTGACACTCTCGAGGATTACCCTTCCGCCAGACGATCAGGCTTTTAAATCACGCCTTGACTGGACTCACGCCACGGCTCCCTTCCGAGGCGCACTTTATACTTATCGACTCTCGGCACGAGGTGAGCTACTCGGCCGTGGTGGTCGGTCTCGAGACCCGGCCAACTAAGAGAGAGGCATGCGTTCAACATAAAGCAGGAAAGGCTCCAAGATTCAATCCTTAATCGATTACGACGGAGTCATCAGTAAACCGGCAAGCCTCCGCCTTGGGTCTTCATTTCCAATTAAGATTGGTTCTTTTCCACGATAGCAAATATAGCCAAATGTGCCACATGTAGATTCCTATATCTCACACGTGTGTGGAAATCACCCGACTTCTACCGTGTTTAAGCGAGGGCTAAGCACTACGAGCCTCGAGCTACATAGGATTGAGGTAACAATATCTCGGACAAGGACTGGGTAACCAATGCAGCAATTGTTTGCATCCAACACCTAAACTTAATGCAACAATATATATATATAGATATATAATAATAATAAAGTAATCGTATTTGGAAATTAGGAGGCTTAATATGCTCCGGGCTTGCCTTTCACAAAGTTGCACAGACGGTGATCCGGGCACTCAGCGGCGACCTCGTCGGCACTTCTTTGAAGGTTGCACCTCCTGAACCTCCGGTGTCATCGCTGCCGCCGCTCGGTTCCTCGAATTCCAGTGAGGTCACTCCTTCCCAGACACCTATTGCATGCCGATGCACGAGATAAATATCATGGATGCATAAGGAATGACATGATGCTCATGATGAATGAATCACAGTAAGTGTTTGACGAAAACATTACTGGACACTCGTTTACCGATTAAAAATAGCTCTATTCAAATCACTTAAAACAGGTATCTAATTTAACTTGAAGAACAAGATCAACTTACCTAACTTGCATAACCTAAGATAAAGATGCTCATCTTCAGTTAAAGGCCTAACACCTAGGAACATTACCACAAACTTAGAAATAGTAAAGGCATACATAAATCAACATTTAAAGCTTCATATGCACACAAATAGTCCCTTAATTCAATCACAACCAGAGTTCTACAAATCCAAATGACTTGCAAGAGGACATTATGGAAAGCTTATAAAATTCTCTACAATTCATTTGTAAACATCAAAGCATGATTCTTAAGTTAACCAAATCAAATTCCAGTAAACCTAGAATCTGTCCCGCAATGACAAGGTTACTAACTTAATTATTTAATGATGATGCAAAAGCCTAATTTGACCAAACCAAGTTTACCAACTTGTTACACATACCAGAGGAACACTAGAAAGTATAATGCCAACT